AAAATTCATTTGCTGCGATGTTTCTACGTCGGCGTCTACGCTTGAGGTGGTAGTGTAATTGATGGCGGCAAAGAAATGCTTGCGTTGGTCAGTTAGTTGCCAGCAAATCGTTGTAAATTGTTGTGAATTTATTTGGCTCGGCAGCAGTCGTACAACTGTGCAGCAATAGCAATCGTGTGTGTTTATACGACGAGAGCTTGCTGCTGTTAATTTTGCATTGTTTATTTGTCTGTAGCGTGTTTAAGTGCTGTTAATTTGCAGTAGGTGAACACGAAAATGCTTTCAATTCAATTGTACTTGTACATTGGTATTCAAATTGTATTTATTGGTTATTCACATACATATGTATGTATTAAAATAGATTCCGGGTAATGAAAATTCCTTGTGATTGTATGATAATGAAAAAATGAGAATTTAGTGAATAAGGAGTAATAAAATTTTAATTGAATCCAATTGAACACTTGGAAAAGAGTAGTTAATTGCTATATTTTATAAATTCATAAAATAATTTTTTAAAAAGATAATTAAAATGGAATTAAGGAAGTGTTCGCGACTTTACTTAAACATACCAAAGGAATTATTCATTGAGTCATTGTTTATCGGTCTCCAGAAAGAAAACTAACGGATATAAAGACTAATTTTATTAAGCAAAAAAATAAATAAATTACAAATAAAGCAGAGTAAAATGTAATACAAGAAAATAAAATAATTAAAAAATAAAAACTAAAATAATTAAATAAAAATAAAAATTAAAATAAATAAATAAAATTAAAATAAATAAATAAAATTAAAAATAAATAAATAAAAATAAAAATAAATATAAAAATAAAAATAAAAATAAATAAGTAAAATATAAACAAAATGAAAAATAATAATTACAAAAAATAAGAGAAATTTATTGAAAGAGAAATAAAATAAAGTATATAAAGACTAATTTTATTAAGCAAAAAAATAAATATATTACAAATAAGGCAGAGTAAAATATAATACAAGAAAATAAAAAAATATTAAAATAAATAAAAAAAATATAAATAAAATTAAATTAAATAAATAAAAATAAAAATTAAAAAAAATAAAAATAAATAAAAATAAATAAAAATAAATAAAAAAANGAAAAAAAAAAAAATAAAAATAAAAAAAAATAAAAATTAATAAAAAAAATAAAAATTAATAAAAAAAATAAAAATAAAAAAATAAATAAAAAATAATAAAAAAATAGATAAAAATAAATAAATAAAAATAATAAAAAATAAAGGCAAATAAAAGTAAATTAAAAAAAAATAAAGTAAAAAATAAATCAAAACAAAATAATATGAGAAACTAAATTAAAATCGAAATCAAAATTAATTTAAATAAAATAAAATTAAGGAAAGAGATAAAATGGAATAAATTGAAAACTAAATAAAACGAAAAAAAATTAGTCAAAATAAAAAAATATAAATAAAATATAGCAATATAAATAAAATCAAAAATAAATTTAAAAGAAAAAAAATCAAAATAAAAAATTTAAATAAAATAAACAAAGCAAAAATAAAAATAAAAACAAAAGAAAAGTGAAAAACTAAAACATAAAATTTATTTAAATGTACATAAATTAAAATTTCTTAAAGTAAAATAAAAGAAAAGAAGCAGAAAGAAAAAAAATGTATGAATGAAAAAAAAAAAATTAATTTAATTAAAAATAAAGTAGGTCATAACATTGAACCGAGGCAAAACAAATATTAAAATAAATCAAAAGCTTTTTTCTTTCATTTTATTTATTTTCTTTATCCATTCCATTATCACTTTTTATAATTATTGTACATTTGCACGTGGAATGTCTAAATAAATAGCCATAAAAAATCAGAAATATTACTTCTGTCTATAAACCATATGGACTGAGCAGTAAAATAATAAATTTTATGCTCACAAATTGCAGGTATAAAACTATAATTAATACGCAATTACCAAATTATTTTATTTGGGATGCCATGGAAATTAAGCGAAAAATGTAATTAATATCTAAACGACTAAAATTTGGAAGTAATGAGATTCTCCAATAATATTTTATTAAATAGATAAGCAATATAATAAAAAATATTACGACGCACACCGAAATGCAACACTGCACTTTCGCTGCGCCTGTAATATACGACCTCACAACCAACGACCTTCGCTGAAGGTGAACAGGATTACAAGCATTTTGCCAGCTGGCTGTTATTTAATTTTCATAAAAAGTAAAAAATAAAACTTTTACATCAAGAAACCAATGAAAACAAATGCACAGTTGCATGACGTGTAGTCTGACTCACGAAAAAAAGAAGACAAATGCAAACGAAATTAATAACTCGAAAGTGAAAAGGCTGCGAGTTTTTGTAATCAATAGTTAGAAAATAGAAAAAAAAAAAATGCATACATACATGTGTGTTTATATAGGTTATGTGTATGTAAATAAATAACTAGGAGTCGTTAAGTGCTTGCGCACACGCCTTATTGCATTTGTATCACCGTCAGCACGCGGCGACGAAATTGTTTAATTTTTTTTTTTTAACATATGTTATGAAATTTTGTTTTTTTACGATAATTTTAATTGTAGAAATAAAATATTAGTGATAAACATCTGTTATTTATGCAGTGAAATTAGTTTAAAAAGCTTAAAATATGCAATGGTAGAGCAAAGTAAATTTTAAACAATTTCAATTTTAAAAACATTAAAAAAATAAAAACAATAAAAATAGTTTATCAATTTTTTATGGTCATTTATTTACAAAAATAGTAGAGTTTTGAAAATAATGTAATTTTTAGAAAAGAAAAAATCATCAACATATGTATTCATAAAACAAATAATTAATAATTTTTACTCCTTTTAATGGATTTTTTTTTTTTTGATAAAAAAAAAAATATTATGATTTGCGCCTTTGAAAGACTGAAGCTTTTCTCTCTGGCAATTGGGCTATAAATAAATATTATATAGTAATATACAAATATTTTGAATATGTATGTATTGTATATATGTATGCATGTATGTCTGCAATATTGACAGGCAACCTTTTTTCATGCATGCAATACTGCGACTCATTGCATACGTAACGGTTGATGCTAATGTCGCGGAACCTGTCTACCCGGTTCAAGCACCGCGGCCAACCGTCACTGCCACAACACACTGCGTTCGCGCAACTTCTGCTGCTGAATTTCTTCCAACAATTTGACTTCCATTTTTTATTTTTGCCGTTTTAACATTGACTATTATTTTCATTTTTGGGAAAAACCACAAAGCTGTACATAAATACATACTTCTTGCTACTTGTACATCCTTCTTTTACAACACAGTAATGTTGCAGACGTTGCAAGCAAAACAAGAAGGAAGCATTGTAAGGCGAAAAATGTCAAAGAAACCGGTTAAATTACATATATGACACCTGTCGCTTGCCGTCAAAAAAAAAAAATAATAATAATTTCGCTGGGCAGACATTGCCAAATATATTAGATATGTTTTCTTAAGGCGTGGAGAGTTTTATTCTAATTATTTTTTTTTTATTTCCTTGCGTAGTTTTACAAGGTTTCTGGTTTATCCTTTTGAGATTTGCTTGTTTTTTTCTATTTTAAATTTTTTATTATAACACATATCTTTTATTTTTATCTTTCCAACTTATATACATATTTTAATTTTTTTTTTATATTTTTTTTTAATATCTCTATGTTATTTTAATCATTTTTGATAATTTTTTAAGAGTTTTTGTGTTTTTTGAATGTTTAAAAAAGTTAAACAATTTTTTTTATTTACTGTTTTATTATTTTATTTTTTAAATTATAATTAAATTGTTTTAATATAATATTTTTAATATAACTTTTCTAGATTTTTTTGAATATGAGTTTTTTTAATTTAAATTTTCAATTTTTTTTTAGATTTTAAAGCTCAGCATTTTAATTTATTAATCTTAAATCATTTTAACTTAAAACGTTTTTTGTGGTATACATATATACAATTGAGTTCAATTAAATTTATTTTTAATTTTTACTTTAATATATCTGTTTTTGAATATTTGTATTTTCTCACTTTTATTATTTTTTAACTATCAGCCTTCGGAACTCAATATGGTTTTGTCTTTATTTTGGCATTTTTTTTTTTAGATTTTCATTTAACTAAAATTATTATTTTTTTACTCTTTATACTTCACTTTTCTTATTTTGCTACTAGCGTTTTTTTTATTTTTTGCTTTTTAGAGTATAGTTTTAATCATTTTAAAGCATTTTTAATTTAACCAATTCTTATCTTTTCACAATTTTTATTTCTTGAGTTTTGAACTCGTTACGTAATATTTTTTTTTTTTTGAAAGCTTGGCCAAATGTTGTCATCACTATATCCAATCAGCTTAGCGGTGATCACTGTCCAACCATAGAATAAAGCGCGGAAATTTTTTTTATAGAGCTTTTACATATTAAATTAAATATCTTTTCCTAGTGTGCAGAAATAAAATGTTTAATTTTTACATATTTAATTGTCACATTGAATTTTGATAACAATATAGCCTACTTACTGCATAGCAACATGCTGTGGCTGCTGGTTGGTTACCCAGACAAATTTTTTGAGGTCGCCTCCACACACCAACACACAAACAACTTTGCCCACACAACTAGGTTGGGGAAGTTGCAATGTCTGGTGTGCTGCGCGATCGCTTCAAAGGCCATTGTCGGGTACAACAGTTGCTTGAGTTCGGCTCACAGCGCAGCTCAGCTCAGCTGGTGCAACTTGAACTCGAAATGTGGTTTCTAGCTGGTAAGACAGCTGTCACATTGGGAGTAATGGTTGGATTGCGGCATAAGAAAATTAACCCAATTTGACGGTGAACGGTTGACTAACGCCAACACATACATGTTTCTTGTATTTTTTTTATTCTTCAAGTGTATTTTGTATATAAATAATTATGTATATAAGTTAAAGTGACTGACTTTATTAATGATTTTCCTTTGAGTTTTATTGAATAAAGTTTTTTGTTTTATTTTTATTTATTTTCTTTTAGGTCACTCATCGTACAACCGGTGAAGTTATGGTGCTGAAAATGAATCAGCTGCGTGCAAATCGACCAAATATGCTCAGGGAGGTGCAGCTGCTGAATAAATTATCCCATCCAAATATTTTAAGGTGAGTAAAAATGTTGTTACAAATGCTGAAAATTGTATTTTAAAGATGAAGTGAAATAAATAGCATAATAATAATTAAAAAAAAAACAATAGTAAGTGTTAATTTAAATAATAAATAACAATTTAAAATATTGCAAAGAGGTCGAAATTAAACTCAAAATTTAAATGTACTGCTGCAAATTAAAAAATATTAAAAATTTAATAAAAAAATAAACACTAATTAAAAAATTAATAAAAACCAGATAAAAAAGTCAAGTAAGAAAAAAATTAAATTGAAATAAACGAAGAAATAATAGAACTAATTTTAAAAACCAAAAAAAAAAAACTTAAATAATTAATAAGAAATAATTAAAAATTTCAAATAATGACAAACAGATATAAAACAATAAGAAAATCAGGCTTACATTAAAATTTAACAAAAAATTAATAGAAAATATATTAAATGAAAGAATAATGAAAATTAAAAAAAAATATATTTATATAATATAAAATGTGAATAATAAAATAAATAAAAACATAATGAATAATAAACAAAAAAATGTATGAATAAAAAATAAAATAAATTTAAATAATAAATGCAAAGTATATTAATAATAAAATATAATAATAATAATTTTAAAATTAAGCAAAGAATTGAAAAATAAATCAGGAAAGAATAACAAATCAATTAAAAAATTTTAAATTAATATGAAATATTAAATTTTAATAAAAAAAATAATAATTTAAGGCTATTAAAAAATTGCTAAACAATATTAAAAAAGTTTTAAAAAACTTTAAAATAAAATAATTTAAATATAAAAAATAAAAATAAAAATTGAGGAAATTAAAAATTAATAACCAGAAAACTTAAAAAAATAATGACTAAAAAACTTAAAAAATTAATGACTAAAAAACTTAAAAAATTAATGACTAAAAAAAATTAAAAATTAGTAAAAAAAATTAAAAATTATTAAAAAAAATAAAAAAATAAAAAATAAAAAAATAAAAAATAAAAAAATGAAAAATAAAAAAATAAAAAATAAAAAAATAAAAAATAAAAAAATAAAAAATAAAAAAATAAAAAATAATAAAAAAATAATAAATAAAAAAATAAAAAATAAAAAATAAAAATTAAATAATATAATAAAAATAAAATAAGAAAATGAATATAAAAAATTAAAAAATTTGAAAAGAAAACAGAAAGTGATCAAACAATAAAATAAATAAAGTAATAAATAATATATAAAAACGTAATAAACAATAAATATAAAAGTAATAGAGAACTAATAAAGAAAATAAAAAAAATTAATAAAATAGTAATAATATTTAAAAGTAATGACAAACAGTTATAAAGTTATAAAAAAAACAAAAATGTATATAATAAAAAATACTTAAATACAAATTACAGAAAGTAAATAAAAAAGCTACAAATCTTAATTTGACAAAAATATTTGGTAAAAGAGTAATTTTTTATATATTTTTAAAATAAAAAAATAAATAAATAATAATAAGAACAATAAAAATGATTCATAGATTGAGCAAATAAAAAATATAAAACGAAGAAAAGAAAAATAATAATTATATAATATATAATTAATAGTAATATATACTTTCAATTGTATAGTAAAAAATACTTATATTTGAACGCTATGTTGGAATAGAATTTCCAATAAATATTCAATATCTATTCTTACCGACGATCACCTCTTTAATCCATTAACAGATTTTCTATATCAATTCCTTAATTATCCGGGCTTTCTAGACCGTTTTTTCACATTTCCTCAATCTCCCATTCGCTCTCTCGGCTTGCCTAAATCTTTACATAAGTTTTGAATCGTTTCTTAAAAGACGAAGGTTTTTTGCCACCAAAATTAACGTCGCATTAACCCAATTTAAGATGTCATAATTTGATAACCAAAGGAACGACACTAAGAAATACAAGTTTTTTCTTTTTTTTTTGTAAAAAAAAACTATAACTCCACAACTCGACGACGCATTAAATGAACATTTTACGCTTTGGCTGCACAAGAAAAAATGTTCTCATCATTAACAAGCGCTTAGTCTCATAACCTAAAAAAAGAAGTAAGAAGTGTGCTAAAGAAGGCAACAAAAACACCAACTACAAAATAGACTGGCGAGTCATTAATTACTGTTTACATGCAATAACCGGCAAAATAATGAAAAGACATACAGATATACATACAAACACACGCATAAAAGTAGCCGGAGAATAATGCTACTGTTTGAAGGTAAGTGCGAGAGTTTGTTTGTTGGTGCTTCTGGCAAACAACTGAGTATGGTGCCGCTCTGTCCGAGGAGAGGCCGGTTCTTGCGCCCAAGCCATGGGACGTCGAGCTGCATTTAAAGAGGGGAAAATACATATTGCAAATTGAAAGCAGCACAATTTCGCGGTTACTTGTTCTCGGTTGGTTTCCAAGTAGCTTTCATACTCTTGGGTACATATGCCTGTACACGTATGTATGTGAGTAGGCTTAGCGGTCTGTCTGGCTGTGTTTGATGTAGCAATCTCAGCACTCACTTGGCCACTTCTGCATGAACAGTTACAATTTAATACAAGCTTGTTTGCACAGATAGGCGTTGCTGTTGTTGTTGCATTTCATTTTGAAGGAAAATGCATTCTCGTCTGACAGGTGAGTGTCATCGCTGCATTCCGGACAAGATCTAATTGTAATATATTTTGTTGACAACTATTTTCTAAAAGCTGACAGGGAGTTACATTTTAGAAAAAAAATATCTACATCAAATAAACAAATGTTGTATAAAATAAGTAGAAAAATAAAGTTAAGCGTAATAAAAAATAAACTGGCGTCAGAGTATAATAGAACAAAACTCAATTAAAAATAAATGCTAAACTTTATTAGAAAATTTTAGGAATAAAATGCAAAAAATCTAAGAATAAGAAATATAGGGAAAAAATAAAAATGAAACAATAGAAAAATAAAAAAAGATAAGAAATTAAAAAAAAAATTAAATATTAAAAAAAAACATTTAAAAACTAAATACAAAAATTATAAAAGAGTAAAAAATATTAAAACAAAAATAACAAAATGAAAAATAAAAATATAAAGGAGTAAAAAAATAATAAAAAATTAATTTATTTAGTTAATATTATAATAATAAAAAATAGAAAATTAAAATAAAATTGAATAATAATAATAAAAAATTAAATAACATAAATTGGTTTAGAACAAAAATAGGTTCAATTTTAAAAAACTTTGAAATAATAATTAAAAATAGATTAAAGAAATGTAACTTAAAAAAGATTAAAGTAAAAGCAATTGAAAAATTTAAAAAAGCAAATTAAAAAATATATTATGAAGTGAATAATAAAAAAATATAAAAAAAACTACAATAAAGAAAAAACATGTATCAAAAAATATATTAAAATATAATAGTTCAAATTTAAAAAAGGTAAAGAATAAAATAATAAAAATACCAAAATAATTAAAAAAAAATTAGAGAAAATTAAATACAAAAATTTCACGTAAAATAATAAATACAAAATGAAAATCAATTAAAAAAATAAAATATCATAATAAATATAAAAAAATTTAATAATAAAAATAAAAAAAAAATATAATAATAAAAGTAAAGAAAAAATTATAAAATTAAAAGAAAAATTAAATTTAATTATAAAAATAAAGAATAAAATAAAATATAATAATAAAAATAAAAAAACATAAAATATAATAATAAAAAAAAAATAAATAAAAATAAAATATAATAATAAAAAAAATAAAATAAAATATAATCATGAAAATATAAAAAATAAGAAAAAATAAAAAAAAAATAAAAAAAAATAATAAAAAAAAATAAAAAANCTAAAAAAAAAAAATAAAAGTAAAAAAATTAAAAAAAAGTAAAAAAATTAAAAAAAAGTAACAAAAAGTAAAATAAAGTAAAAAATGAGTAAAATAAAACATAATTTAAAATAAAGTAAAACAATAAAAAAATAGAAAATATTTCAAAGAAGAATTAAAAAAATACTAGGGAATATTAAAAAATAAATAAAATTAGTGGAAAGTACTTACTACAATAAAAAACTAAAATCGAATATAACAAATTAAATGTTATCGATAAACTACATAAAACAAATAAATAAAATAATAAATATGAATTAAAAATAATAAAAATACAAAAAAATATATTTACATGTAATTGTGTCGTTACGAATCGCACAGGAGCAGGTTTGGCAAACCCCATTGGCATTCCAACTTTAATCAACACGAAACCTAGAATTAGCAGCCAAAATTTTATTTTACAATTTTTAAAAAATCTATTCTCTAAAAGTAATTTAAATCCTTCTGTCTTTTATCAACGAAGTATGTGTATTAAAATTAAAATATAAAAACTTTTTCACTTGGAAAAAAATTGCAAAGAACAAACCTAAAAACAAAAAATATACAATAAAATTCATTAACATTACACCACCAACCTCTCCCCTATTGCAACTGAGCAAAACACAAAGGTTCATAGCCGTTTGAGAGGCGTTTCTTTGCTTTGTTTGACGCCTCCAGTGTCTAAAAGCTTTTGCCGCGTTGCAACGAACTTCCGTGAAGTAAGTGATAGTGTGCGCAGGTGTGTGTTTGTCTGCGTGTGTGTGTGTACGTGCGCGCGCGAATTGTTGCCTGTTGTCATCCTTTAGCGATTTTCATTTATTTTTATTTTTTGCATTAATTTATAGGCATGTGTGTTGCTGTATGCGGAGGTGTCACAAAGAATGTTGCCACTTTTCGTGGGCGGATAGCTCAAAGCGAAAATACAAAATAAAAATATCGCATACCTTTTTATTGAGCGCAGGAATTCTTTTTGTTATGCTTTTTGTGAATGCTTATATTCTCATATGTATGTATGGATAACGAATAAATGCAGACTGTGAAGAGAATCTAAGTTTTTTGTGAATTACACTTTGCCTATTAGTCTTCTGCAAATCTTGTCAAAAGTGTTTAAAAAACAAAAAAAAAAAAAAAAAAAAAAAAAAAAATGATGAAGACAATCGAA